TACTTTTAAATATGACTAAACCACCAGTAGGTGGTGGCAAATGTCTGTTTTAATGAGTATGTCATTTATTCATTAATTCAAACGATTCATTCAAACGGCTGATTCATTCAGAAACGAGGCAAGTGACTGTCCTTATGAATGGGCCACTGAATCATTGACTCACTCGATTCGTTCAAAAACGTGGATTTATTCAATAACAAAACACCGCTGTGTGTTGCTCGGAGACACACAACAATTCTTCTGTGGCTTTGATCTGAACTATTTTCGTCAGCGAAATTGAGCAAAAACAGTCAATATTTTGTCTAAAATCTAAGGCACTTAATTTTAACTTCTTGTTTATTGAAATACTATTGTATAAAATCAGTGTCACATTGCAATCGTGTTGATATTGATATTCAGGAAACATCATGGGCGTATAATGTTGATTACCTAAATCATATTTTCTAAATATCTTTTTTTTTCTACCGCATTATGCATCTATAAATTTCTGTGAGTTACTTTGTGTGTGCTGTCTCTCTCACACACTCACTCAGGCTGTGCATGCCTCATCTGGCACAACATAAATGCATTATCAGTTGCCGTTTACACTGAATGCAATTAAAATTAAAATCATTCTCACGCGAAACGACATGTTTACACGCGACTGTGAGTGTGTGCGTGGCTGTGACGTCATTGTCGGCACCGCTGGCAATAAAAGGATCGGCTCGGAATCGGCAAGACGTGAGACTGACCAGCCGGTCACCGATCCGGGCCAGTCATGTGAAAAATCGGCCGATTACGATCACTGGCCGGTCAATCGGTGCACAAATGGTTAGCACAAACATATAGGACTTTTCTGTTTTTTTCCCGGGACATTTCCTTCGAAAATTAAATTTAACCACCATGTCCTCAGCGGTCTATGGAGACTCCTATGTTCGTTGGTGCATCCCGAAACACAACACTTGTAATGCCTCTTTGGCGCTGACATTGTATCTCTAGCAGCTACAGCAAGAAAACAGTAATGGCAGACTGCTGCTTCTCACTCAGGGCGGTGTCTATGCTAATAGGGCAGAGAGCATCACAAATGGGCGGGACTTTCCAGAGTATGACATCATAATACTGAGAAATCTGGAACCGCTCGTTTGGAGAGACTGAATGATTTATTGGGATTATAAAAAAATGAGTGGGTGGATTTTTACCATTATAGGCTGGTTGTTTTCACACACTGTGGCCACACAACTGTGTTCAAACACCTTATAAAAGTGATTTTTGCATTCTATAGCACCTTTAATAATAATAATAATAATAAATTCCATACAGCAAATTCTATCATTATATATTTTGAAAGCTTGTTAATGGCAGTTTTTTGCACTATGGTAATGAGAATTGATGGCATTTGCATAATTGTCATGAAAATAATGTCACTGTGTGAAGAAAAAAAAATCTTGTTTTCCTAAATGCATTTTTGTGTTTAAAATGGGTGCAAAGTATAATTTATAATTAATTACTTTGCTTTTGGTGTGAAATAGAGTTCTAGACCATTTTTGGCAGTTTTTGTGAGATTCACCCCATCACTTGCCAGGATATCAAAGCTTTGTGTTGTTTTGTAAAAGAGAGACTCCTTACATGTTGCTTTTCCTCCTTTTAAAATTTAACAGCATTCTTTAATAATGAAACGGCTTGTCATTTGTGCACATATTATTTAGCTTTTGTCTGTTGCCAAATGCTAAATTTAGCCTGACAGGCCCTCTCTGTTCACGCCATGTTCAGTTAAGCCAGTGTTCAGTGCTGCTGGGAATGTTTTTGATCATTGAACTTTTGCATTTTCAATTTTTGATTACACACACATTTAAAAGCAATAATTCCGCTGCATCTCCTCTGGGGATGAACGTGTGTCACTTTGTCCAAATGTCAGTGCCATGTCTTTTAATAAATTACAGAAATTACCCCCTTTGCTTTATCTAGACATAAGCTGAAAAAGAATGTAATTTTAAAGGAGGAGTTATGTATTAAAGATTACAAATTCTTGATTAAAGATTACAAAAACAATTGTTTTCTTGGAATAATATGCTCCCATGAGTTGTGTACAATAAGACAAATGTATAAAATAAGTAAGGTCAATTTTGTTTTCATGTTGACATTAAATCACAGCTCTGAATCCAGTGAATTTTAGACGGGTATTGCAATTTGAAAAGGCAAACATTCAACATAGTGGACAGCTGGTGTTGATGCTGACACAAAGATGTGTTTTTTTTTAGAGATAGTTAAAGGTATTGGGGTCAGTGTGAATGTAACAGACAGACAGGATTGTGCGTCCAAAACACATTATTAATAAATGCCAGTTTAATCAGCTTTCCTTTCGAAGGATTATTTTTAGGTTGTCGAATTTCACAGTGTGTACCCGTGGCAGTGTCTGCCAGTACTGTAAATTTATACTCTTTTCCGTTCTCACTAGTACTTTATTTTTGGACGATATGATATTGGAAAGCTCTTTCCCTGAGTGTTCTTCTTTTCTCTGAGTTCATTGCACTAAACCAGTAATTCTTAACTGTTTTTTTTGTTTTGGTGCAGTACCCAGATTTTACATTGAATATCAAGTGGTGACCAAAAACAATACCAAAATCAAAACAAATGTTCTTAAATCATATATTAAAATGTATTGAAATTACTGTGAACTTCATAAGCCAAGTATAATTGGAATAGGCCTAGATTTAAGTAACAAAGTTTAACTTCATGTATGAGTTGATTCGATGTGCGACCTGTGACGTCAAAAAAAAAAAGAGGGCATTTTCGCCTCCCTTTTAAAGATTAATATTCCTGTTTATTTTGCAGTCCTAACAATGTATGATTTATGGTTAATTGCATTTTATTAATCACATTGTTTCTTTTCTATTTGAGAACCACTGAACTCAGTGGAAGAACTTTGATTTTAAAATTGTGATGGATTTGGAAAACAATTTAAGGTAGAGGTAAACGCATTGGTAAATCATTTTAATAATTTGTCATTTTCATTGTGAATTGTTAGGCCATTCATTCTGATTAAATACATCAGCTTGCATCTTGTTTTGCTATTTGTGAAAAGGACATAAAAAGATGTCCATCTGTCAAGTACTTTCAAATGCAAATTATGTAAATGAAACAAAAATTGCATTATTTTTTTCAAAGTTTTGTTAACACCTCTTGAAATAACCACACTGAATATCATTACGGCTTAAAACTGTATGAAAAGTAGTCTGGATCTATTTTGCTTTTTATCAGAGGTAGTAGAGTGCCTTGATCACTAATGCTTTTTCATTAAATTTTTATCTCTAATTAGGTTAAAAAAGTGGTACAGTTGTTATATAGATTATCCAGAAACGGCATGCATTCAGGTGAAATAGAAATGTGCTTTCTGAATAGACATTCAAACGCTTATTCAATTAATTGGCCTTTTTGCTGATGCTTTGTTCAGTTGAGGATTTTGAGTGCTTTGCATTCTTTCAAGGTCACATTGGTATCTCTCCCTCCCAAAAGGATTCTCTAATGATCTCTCTCTCTCTTTCTCGTTTCCTTCCAGAGCATCAGAGAGATCCCACCTGGCTTTGTTAAGCCTACATGCCTGTGAAATGACCGCATCTCCTGCTTGCCCTCCCATGGAGTGAGCAGTTGTCCTTGACAGTGAAACAGAGATAAAGAGACCCATTCTCCTCCTATGGATTACAGACCTATAGGTCTGAACGCCCTGACGTGGGTCAGTCTTCATTCACAGACTTCTCCCATCGCAGTCAAGCTCCTTCGCTATTCCATAAAATGCTGGAGTTGGAATTTCTGGTCTGGACAATTTAACGCCAGGTATGAATGTCCCTAACTTTAGGACCAGAGATACAGCAGACAAGGCCGTAGAAGCTTGAGAAGCACCTCACCTCAGAAATGCAGACTGATGATCTATTTGCCAAAAAGCTTCAAGCCTTGAATGGGGATATGGGACCTCCTGGTGCAAACACACAGGGAACACCAGCAGTGCCCAAGATGGGCGTACGTGCAAGAGTGTCAGATTGGCCACAGAAGAAGGATGGCCATGGTCCACCACCCAGATACGAAAGCCTAATGACGACCTTCCAGAATGGACAACCCAGTCAGTTGCCGGAAGATGTGGTCAAACAAAGCCCAGGTTCTCCTCTCAACCCCAGCTTTCTGGAGGCAAAATATGGACTTGGTGAACTTCTGAGCCACTCTCCTGGTAAAGTACACCACGCTCTCCAGAAGAGGAGCAATAGTGACGTCACCATCAGCGATATAGGGGCAGAGGACATGGATCAGACTGCAGTCAACCCCAATACAGGTGCCAATTTGCACCGAGAGTACGGAAGCACATCCTCCATCAATCACCAGGGTTTGCCCGATGAAGGTTTTTTTGGCAATCTGAAAGTTTTCCAGCCAGAACTCTCAGAGCAACCGAGCGCACCACCTCCGCATGGCTTTCCAGAATTTCGCCGGTATGAGGCCGCCATTTCTTCAAGTCTCCAGACTGCTGCGCAGATTGCAAGGGGGGACATTCTCTGCATTCCGAACTACTCAGACTATGTAGACAGTTCACTCTTCTACAGTCGGGAAAGGGAGAAGTCCTTCCTACAGCGACAGAAATCTGAAAAGGGCGAGACGTCCATTTTCCGCAGACTGAAGACTATGAAGAGCGAACAGCGGCAACTAAGCGAACATGACGATTGTAGTAGACACGGTCGTCCATTGAGTTTCCAGAGATGTTTCGCCCACTATGATGTCCAGAGCGTGCTTTTCAATATAAGTGAGGCTGTTACCAATCGTGCCAACTTAGCACGTCAAAAGAATATTACTACGGGGGCTTCTGCAGCATCCCAACATCAAATTGGTGGGGGAATGGACAGTCCTGACCCCATGTCTATTTGCGAGTCCCCTTTGGACAGCTGTGAGGAACTAGGGCAAAAAGCTTCCACAGACCCTGACGAAGGGGACAGGAAGAGCAATGGTTTGGTGCTGAGCTGCCCGTACTTTCGTAATGAGATAGGTGGAGAAGGTGAGAGGAAACTGAGTGGACCCCACAACAATGTAGGTGACAATTATACTATAGAGTCTACTTTAAGTTCACACTGCACTAATGCGGGGGTTTCCGTCTTGGAAATGTCCCGTGAGAATTACGCCTCTCGTGAAAACTACGCTGTTCCACGGGATTGCATCAAACGCTACATCATTGAGCACATTGACATGGGCGCATACTACTACCACAAATTATTTTTCAGTAAAGGTATGTTTTACAATCTAGACATTAATTTGATTGGTCTGCTTATTATAGCGATAGATGACCTCACTTGGTTACCAAAAAGTGTATCTCTCACTATATAATGTCGATCTTTTCTTACTCTTCTGACTTTTCTCTAAAGAGCACCAGAACTACTTCGGTGTTGATGAGAACTTGGGCCCGGTGGCAGTTAGCATTCGGAGAGAGAAGCTGGAGGAGGGGAAGGAGGGACCGCAGTATAATTATAGGGTCATCTTCAGGACCAGCGAGGTAGGATGGCATATGTAAAACACGCGGTTTAACATGCACCATTTACTTCATGCACCAAACTTCTGTAGATCCATTGGTTTTTGAGCCAGTAAGGTTCAGGGGTATAAATAAAGGGAAGCATAGATATGTCCAAACTTTTAATTTTATATATATACAGTATAATTGATTTCCATCTATAATTGATTTCCATCTTCCCATTAAGTGCATTTCCAGAAGCTTTTACATAATCTCCTCTGAATACAAATCAGACCTGCCTCAATAATAGCATTGATTGTTTTGAAAATCAGCTCAAGATGGATGATGTTTGTGGCGTACTATTGAATTTTTCCATGTATGGTGATATAAATTACCTTACTGTACTACATGATTCTCACCACTGACGCTATAAAAGTCCCAACCAGTGTGGCTTTCAAAATGGCAAGGGATCTTTCATATGTGGCCTGCCAGGTTTTTTCCTAAGAGTGACTGGATAGTTTGCTGAACTGGCGGTTGAGCATACTGTAGTCCTTTTGCTAAAAGCCAAAGCGTTACTTCAGCATTCGCCACAGTTAGTTGAACTCAATTATTCATCTAAAAGGTTGGCAGGGCATGTCGCTGGATTCAGCGCTGTTGCAGGGACACTCTTAGAGAGTGCTTTGCCATTTGAGAAGACAACGAAAGAGAATGGTTTATCCATCTGTTCAGGATTCGAGCATGCTGTGTATTCATTCAATGGATACATTTGCCCAGTTCAACCAAAATTGTGGACTCTTTCCTCCTTTTTACGAATATAAACTTCTCTCTCTTTACTCTATACATTTTCAGCTCACCACTTTGAGAGGCTCAATTATGGAGGATGCCGTTCCCTCCACGGCTAAGCATGGGACTTCCCGTGGACTCCCTCTTAAAGAGGTGCTGGAGTACGTAGTTCCTGAGGTCAACATTCAGTGCCTCAGACTGGCCACCAGCTCACCTAAAGTTCTAGAACAACTGCTGAAGCTAGATCAGCAGGGGGTAAGTACTGTACTAAAAGCTCTACAGTCAGTTTTACACATAGAAAGGGTGTGGATAAATTACTTGATTTAACTTTTTTTAAATACTATAAACTAGGGATGCACCAATATTTCGGCCACCGAAAAATATCGTCTGAAAATGGCAATTTCGGTTTTAGGCCGAAAGACAAAAAAGCGACAGGAAGTTTCTATGTAGTATACTTGTTCCTGTTTGTGCCAAGTGCATCCAGAATTTTCGGTTTTGGTTTCAGCCCAGAATTTTCATTTCAGTACATCCCTACTATAAATCATACATAAAATAAAAATGAATAACTAAATAATTATTTATATATTTAGTTAAATTCATATTTTGCACTGGAACAATATTGTCTGATCTGTTTATAAATCACTGCAATATTAATGCAATTAAATAAAAATTATATGCAATTGACAATTTTAAGCAGCGTCCTGCAGTGTGGCATGCTGTAATTAATCTAAATATGTTTTAAACATTTTTTTTTATTATTTTACCATTGGATCATTTACCGTTTTTATGTTCTTATATTAACTGAGACTGCATCAAATATATTCGTTTATTTGTAATGCCGTATGACCATTTAAAATGAATTTTTTAAGTCATCAGTTTATTGATTAAAATTGATTTGCAATCTTGTAAAATTAATGTTGCAGTTACAGGACGTAAGAGACACTGTTTCCCTTATACGGATATGCCAATTTATTAAAAAATTGAATGTTAAATATAACATGCACAAATATAACACGTTAAATATGACATTTTTTACATTTACTACCCTTTGTAAGTGCTTAAATGGGTAAAATATACAACAATAAGCATTTCCCACAATGCAGCCAGGCTGTAAAACGATCATACCACCATTTGGACAGTAAGAGACAGTTTGGCTAACACAAACTGACAGGTGGGAATAAACCTTCATTCGCAGGGATGATTCATTGCATACTGTGTACAATGTTGTGAACCATACATGTCTGCAAGGCTTGTAATTACGAAGACATAATCAAGTGGGGGTTTAAGAAACCATCCATTATATCCTTCATACGTCCCATTCGCTTAGTTTTAATGCATACTGATAAAACCAGAAACAGATGTTTTAAACTTCTTCTGATGATGTGATGTCCTTAAAAGCTGTTGTTCATTTGATAAACTTAAGCAAGATTGAGCTTGTAAAGTGGTTCCTTTGGACAAGGCGTCTATCAGATGCCGCTGATGGCCTTGCAGCATTTCCGTTTGAGGGTTCGGATTGCAGGTGTGTCAGGATGAGACAGTGTTTTACTAAAGAAGCCTTTTATAAAAACAAAGATCCAATTACTTATTGACAGACCCAGACTTGCACATCTCAGGGCTAGAGTGGAACAGAGAGATGAGCAGTTTTGTCAGTATGTTGACTGAATGGAATCTGAGAAGCAGTTAAAGTCTTGATCGATATTACAGCCACACGATGGCCAGAGGGGAAATCTGAAGAGTAACGCTGTAGAACAATGAATGCATGGAGAGAGGTTAGTTGTAAAATTAGTGTTGGTAATTATTTCAAGTGGTATTTTGTCATCTCAGATCAATCAAGTTCAATGAATACCTTATTGATAACCTCACTGTAAAATGGTAATAAATTTTTCGCGGCATTTCCAGCGTTCAGACAAAAGATAACTAGTTTTCAAGGTAAATTATTCGACAAAACCACAGAAAACATCACCATGGCAACCACCTAGCCACACATAACAGCCACTTGACCCGTTTGAGACGCTGCCTGTGACCAGCGACACTTAGGGTGAAAATGAAAGAAAATCATTGCTCTTCTTATGCTTTCTTGAGTCCCCGTCTTTGTCCATTTCTTCATCTCGCCTCCATACTCTCCCCCAGTTCTACCATTTCTGATAATGGTGGGGGGGGTTTTTCCCTCTAGAGACTGTTGGTGGCATTTTATGGCACAAAAGCCATAGCAATTGTAAGAATAGCACTAAAATTGCTTTTACCATTTTTGAAAAATTGGTACAGGCTGGGAATTACGTGTGATTTCGGACAATTACCATAGACTTCTTAAAATTCCTTCGTCATTGTAAACCTGCACTCTTCAGTTTGTCATCCGATCAGCAATTCCTATTATTATAGATGTTAAGTATCATACTGTTCATTATTTTTTAATAATTGTGCAGAAAAATGTCTGGCTCCTTTTTTTTTTTTTTTTTGCCTGTCTGAAACCATAGCTTCTTTATTTAGTTTATGGCTGGTATGTGTGTCTCATACATAATGCAAAAGTGGCATCTGAGGCCAGTGTGCATGTCATTATGTGTCAGGCTTTTGCGTAGATTGATAGCACTTAACATGACTAAATCACCACTTGTGGTAGGCGATGTATATCACCATTCCATGATATGCTTTAAGAGTGCTTTTGAAGGTTTCCTGTACAATGTGCATTGAAGATTGTATAAATATATCACTCTTTACTGTGTTCTCTTATAGACTTGATGCTGTTACATGATAAATCATGCCATGTAAAATGTAAGGGACAGTATTGATATTTTTTAACATTGTTCATTGAAATAAAGCGGTAAAAATATCACTTACATAAAATAGAAATATTAGATGAAAAACATGAACTTGGTAACTAACTGAAATAAGTTGAAGTACTATAAGTACTGAAACTAAAACTGAAATTAAAAATAAATTAAAGCTATATATATATATGTGTGTGTGTGTCTGTATGTGTGTGTGTGTGTGTGTGTGTATATATATATATATATACACACTACCAGTCAAAAGTTTGGGATCACAATGATTTTTAATGTTTTTTTACAGGAGTTTAAAATAGAAACCATTATTTTATATTGTAATATCATTTTGCAAGATTACTGTTTCTTTTCTGTATTTTTGATCAAATAAATACAGCCTTGATGAGCATAAGAGACTTACTGATCCCAAACTTCTGAACGGCACTATATATATATATATATACGTATATACTGTATACTATATATAACTGACCACAGAATTCAGCAATTGGTCAGTCAGAATCAAGTATTCCAGAGAGCCATGTAATAGGTGTAATTAGGGCTTTAGGATATAATAACTGGTTCAGACTGAAGAGTGATACATAAAAAACTTGTCAAATATCATAACAATGATTGAAACTGATTGAGTTTTTACTCTTTGTAAATTGTAGCTGAGTTACCAGCACAAAGCGGGCATCCTGTACTGCCAGGCCGGGCAGAGCACAGAGGAGGAGATGTACAATAATGAGACTGGTAGTCCCGCACTGGAAGAGTTTCTGGAGCTGCTGGGTCAGAAAGTCCGACTGAGGGGGTTCAACAAGTACAGAGCACAGCTGGACAGCAAAAGTAAGTGCTGCTCTCACGATGATATCCTCAAAATGTTTGAACGTTTGATCCACTTTCACTGCTGTGAGTCTTTGACAAGCTAGAAAGCTGCTTGGCAGCTTCAGGTTCATTTCTGAAATGGGTTTTGTTAATACCATATTTTTTTCTCAGTCAGTGCATATAGGGCATTGGACAGTTTCTCATAATCTCTTAGTCTGTGCAGATGAGCCATTTGCAAATTAATATTGAACTGCAAGAGACTAGTTTCATATTTCATCATCAGTGTATGTGTCTTTTCAATTTACTGCCTTTATACTGATGTGTGTGATATAATTGTATCTTTTCTGCAGCGGACTCCACTGGCACTCACTCTCTCTACACCACCTATAAAGACTTTGAACTGATGTTTCATGTCTCTACAATGCTGCCCTACCAGACAAGGCACAGATTTGATGTCTTAAGTGAAGAGCAGGGACATATCAGGGATAATTATGTAATTAGGAATGTGTCATTTTCCAATGCAGTTCAAATGTGAAAGGCTGTTCTTATTTATTTGGTGGAACAAATTTTAAAAGATTTATTTCCTTCATCCGCTGTACTTTTCAATGGGCGGAACAATCCTAATAGAGTCTGCCGCAGATTAATTTACCACCATAGCAGCTTTCCATCAATGACTTCCTGAAATCCCCATGGCTACACTGAGCTCAGTCGGATAATAAAATTGAGATTTGTGCTTTTAAAAGAAAGCTGTTTTTACAGAATGAGTAAAAAGAGAAGTAAAGGAGACCTTGCCTGGTTCTGTCTGGCTGATTTGTGGGATTTGTTGTTTTCTGTCCATTGGATCGTGGTCCGATAGGGATTATCTTGGGAAACAAGCAGGTGAAGATCTCCACAGCTTTGAGCTTTAAAGCCAGTACATCTCTGATCCACTTTTTTTCCTTTGGTGACAGAGAGATGAGCCCAAGGGATATACAGTAGACTACAGCTAAACCTTTACATTTACATGTGAATATCACTTGCATTCATGTAGAACATTATATTATGCTATTGACCATTCTGAGTGAGCTAGGTGAGGGGAAGGAAGTGGATGAAAAGGAACAAATGTGAGAAAGGAGTTTACCCGCATCTTCTCTCAATGAGATGTGGAAACAGGTGTCTTTATGTTAATAGTTAATATACTGTAATCGTATTGTCTGTATCTCAGAAGATCAAAGTGTCTGAGGTTCTTCACGTCTTATAACATTTACACATTACTTAAGCTTTCTTACAAACAGTTATTTAATCAGAATGCCGTAATTACTGACTGACTATAGTTAATTACATGTGGATGTTTCTGTTTTGTTTTTTGTTTTTTTTTATTTATATTAAAATAAAATCTTGGATTTTTTAATATTTTATTTTGTTTTTATTATTTTATTTCTCATGTGATGCATGCATTTGCACTTTTGGATAGTGTGTTTGAATTTATTTTTGATTTAGGTTTCTGATTGTATGGCATTAACTGTAACTAGTTTCTTGTTAAAAGGTGCACTATAATGGCTTTATTCATATTATCTGTTCCCCTATCCAGCTACTGAGGAAAAGGCACATTGGAAATGACATCGTTACCATAATTTTCCAGGAACCAGGAGCTTTTCCATTCACACCCCAAAACATTCGCTCTCACTTTCAACATATCTTCATCATTGTCAAAGTTCACAATCCTTGCACAGAGCATGTATGTTACAGGTAAGATGTAAAATGTCAATTACTCCTCATTTTTAGCTTAGCCTGTAAAATAAATGCTTCTGTTTTACAATAAAGATGGTGGTTTAATTTATACATGTCTTTGCTGAAATAAATACAGTTTTTTGCTAAGTCATACCCAACCCACCCTGAATAAATCCAATTTTGTAAATGGTGGTGGGGGGGGGGGAGCTTGGTGACAGTCAGGTTTGACCTCTCAGAACGATAGGGAGGATTAAAGGATAAGATCGAAGGGAATTCAATTTCCAGTCTTATTTACTCAGTGTGTACCTCTTAAGCTTGTTCAGCGTAACATTGCAGAGAGCTGAGGGAGGCTGGAACCTAGCTCAAAGCAAAATTGCCTGTCTCATCTTCTGAGCAGATCTGTGAGAGACTGCTGCAGAAAGATTTCTGAATTGATGTCAATGTTGAAGTCAAACGGAAAACCTTTCTATGTATTTTTCTTTAAGGGGCAATGTGCTTCAGACTATTTTACATAAAGTGAATATACTATCTCATATCCCAGCTTAATTTGTGGAGATAGATGTAAGCCATTTATAGGTTGATTGGATTAATGACCCAAAAAAGGATATATAAAATAAATATATTAATAAGATCGGAA